TACGCCAAAAAAGGAAATTAATACTAGGGGTTCAAACTTTCGACTGCTCTCTTATCAACACAATTAGGATCTCTTATCTATTCCAGATTGCGGCTATCCCCCGTAGTAGTTTAAGGATCAGGGATCCAAATCTGAGGAACAAAGGTTATGTTTAATTGCTCAATCAGAGAAATTGCATTGCGTGTGATTTATTTCGAGGGGAGATTTCCGTATCACGTGATCTGTTTCTAAATCTTCCACCCTCCGGGCGGCGAGAAACTTAAAAAAAAAAATTTAATCACAGAAAGGGACCAACTCGAAAGGTATAACTCACAGCCATCCCCCATGCAAAGATCTACATGCTTTTTTTTCTGTTTTTTTTTAACAAAAAATTCGCAAGTTTAAAATCTTTTTTGCACCTTAGCGATTGCAGTTGGAGCGACAGATCACGATGCGGAAATATCCCTGATTTCGTAATCTATAATATCATCTGCTCTCTGTTAAAAGACACGTCCTATTAAAAATTGTGCGTATATATAAACTTTTTTTTTGACCATACGAAATTTGTTTCCCTAATAATCGCTAATTGCTTAAATTTGTCTCCTTAATTCTCTTGGGAAAAATTAATTCTCTCATATTTACATACAACGTATGCATCTATTTCATTTAAGTCAAAGTTAAACAACATGATTATTAACTGCAGCTATTGTACCAGTAATATACATTTAAAACATGAAGAATTGCAATAAGCGATTTTACCCATTTTTCATATAGTACAATTCCAATAAATTTGCAAAAAATCTATTAAAAAATTGGGGGTAAAAAGTTAAATTGCCTTTTTCAAAACCTAAGTAAAAAAAAATTTTTTTTAAATTTAATTTAAGTGCTAATTTATAAAAAAAAATGTACTCACGTTATAAATTTCAATTGGACGACTAAACTCCGTTTTCTTATAAGTATAAGGCATTATAAATGAGTAAAAATATCAACTCAATATGGCAGAAAATACACGTGTTTTATGAAAGCGTTACGGAACACTTTGTTTACATCTGACTCGATCCATTGCTGACTTTATACTGCATCCTCACACAAATCAATAGAGCTAGAGAAGATGTGACGTCATCTTGGGCACGGTTCGGTTAGCGCGCTCTACTACGAACCTTACGACTAAAAGTGCCCTTTCGGTGGATAATGGGAAGGAAAAAAATAGCCATTTCGTCAAAGTAATTTGTAATTTTTTTTTCTTCCGTTACTTCTTTTGATAGCCACCCGCATCAGAATGACTAGAAAGATTAGGTAAGATCTCTAAGTAAAGTCGTGATGAATGCAGTCAAGGTCGGTAAATGTTTCTTGAATGGTAAGAATCATTACAAAGAAGTCTTAAATAAAAAAAAAGAGCGAAAACAATATAAAAACTTGTCATTTAAATTAAGTTTTAGCGGAAGCAGTATAAGAGTTTGAAACATTCGAATTTTCAGTAAAAATTTCTAAATAAGTATTAATTTAGAAAAAATATTTCAATGATATTTTAGCTAAGAAAATGAAATCGTTTCAAGTTACTTAGTGAACGAATTTATTGTTCATGCGTTTGGAATGTTTGAAAATTAGACATTGCAATGCGTTGAAATTACAATGGGGTAAAATCGAATTTCTTGAAAAACCGTTTAGGAACAAATGAGGTATTCTCGTTTGTAAATTGCTTCTAACAGTATTTAGAAAGAGTTTTACGAACGCATACTTTAACTACGACGTTCCTAATTTGTTCGACTTTGAAAACCCGGCATTTTATTTTAAAAGAAATCATAATCAGCTGTGCTGTGAATTTACTAATCAGAAGATTTAATTATTTTATAACCGTCGTTGAACAGCAGAAGCAATTTTGAGTTTACGACCACTTATGTTCAACTTCGTAGCCTTGTAGTTTTGAAGACAATCCAGAAGACAAGGGAACTCGTGGATTAAGTATTGAGAGAAATTTGCCTTCGCGGAGGACTTTTTGAGGGAACTAAACCACATTTGCGTTACATGGAGAGGAAAACCTCGAAAACGTCCTAAGGTTGGCCTAACGGCAAGGGGTCTCTAACCCATGATCCGTCTACTACTGAGGATATTTTAAGCCAGCACTGTAGTCGGTGCAAGCCGGGTGCGGAATTCGTATCAACCAGCCAACCATTGCTTTGATTCGAACCCGGTTTACTAGGTTTTATACTAAGTTTCTGTCTTTCTAGTGTTAATAATTACTGTTTTTTTTTTCAAAAACGATCAAAAATTCCTTTTAAGGAAAATTTAAATAGGTCTCACTATCTTTTAAAATGTTTTTTATAAGGAATCCTATTATAATATCGCTTTACTTTTTTAACGTATAAATAAAATATGAATGTTTTCCAAATCTTAAAACAGGTTAAATTTTATAACAAAATTGTACTAATTTTGAAATTTATTCAAATTTTACTTATTTATTTTTTTTTTTTAAACTGGTGGTATCAAGTTCAGGTGCTATATCACCACCCCTACTAANAGATTTTACATCGAATCTTATAGTGCGTCTAATAATTTAGGCAGGGACTGTAGATGGTGAAGTGAATTGAAAAATTACTTTAAAAAAAAAAAAAAAACTTTGTTTTTGTTTCGTTTGGGAAAGTTGAGAAATATGTGAAATTTTGAATCATATTGAGTAAAAAAAAAATCAAAATCTATTCTCAGAACTATAAAGTAACAAAAAAGCATACACATTTGAGATCATAAAACAATATTTAATCACTGAGAAAACAAAATCACGATCAAAATTAAGCGAATCACTACTCAAGCAGGCAGGACTGGAAACACCAAAACCGGTATGGAATGATCGCTTGATAAAACGCGGCGGTGATTGTCCGAAACACCTTTTAATTCCTCTTTGATTTCTTTCGCCATCAAATGGAGTTTAATGATTTCAGTCCTGCTTTCCTTTGTAGCAATTCGTCAAAATTTGACAGCGAACGTTTTTTTAGGCTTCATTTTTGACAAGGATTATGAAAATCTAAGTTAAAAGTGATCATTATGAAGCATACTGTAGGTACTTTTGAAAATTATATTTAAATTTATTCAATTTTTATTTGTTTATTTATTATTATTTTTTTTTTTTGAAACTGATGGTGTTATCATGTTCAGATGCTATATCACACCCTATATCCCTACTAACTCACTAAATTGAAAATTCGAAACAAATTTTTAGCATCGATGCATTATTCAAGATGAAGATAAACGTTCATATGTTAATAACAGAAAATAATGTTCAAAATAATACCCTTTTTTTTTGGTGATAGGTGTGCTGCCACTCACCAACCCCGATTATTACTCCGCAATAATTGTTGTTTCGTGGCAGAATTTAGTTTTTCTACTAAAGTTATAATTATTCACTTAACATATAAAAAGGAATTCTGTTTACTTACGCTTGTACCTCCACTTCCCAACTCCAAATATTATTATCTATTAGTATTATAAACATTTAGATCTATTGGTCAACAGAAGTAATCATTATTTAAAATAACATTTATATTGTTATAACAATATATTGTTCAAACAAATTCGATGAGTTCGCAATCGTCATTTAACATTTTCGCTTACCAAACCGGCGGATATATTAAATACTATTTCTGCTGATCGCTAGGTTCTAAATCATTTAACAGATCTTTTTATTTTTACTCAGTGTTCCCTTGAAGTATGATGTCAGAAGATAGACTTGGAATTTGGATTGTTATTAAATTTCGCATTGAATATGACTTTGAAACTTTAAACAACATAACTCGATAACTTTATATATATTCAGTAGATTCGGCATAAAATTTAACAGTATATACTAACTTAGATGTTTTTAATCGTGTTTGATGTTTTTGATTGATTAGCTTATAAACATTTATTGTAAAGGCATTTTTCACTCAGTATGTCACCAATTTGTTAAAGTCTTACCATGTATAAAAATCTAATGGTCGTGTCTCAGTTTTCCATTGTTGTCAATACATTTTTAGTGGCTGGAAAATCACATGGTAGGATCCAGTTTTCCCTAATTAATTTTCATATTGGCTTTTCATTTTTCCATTTTTTTTAAAAAATTCATAGTAAAAAGTATTTTAACAAAAAAAGCCAATATTTTATTACAACTCATTTTTAGTTTAGCCAACGTAGTAGGGGTTGTTCACTGTAAAAGTAAATTAAGTAGTTATAAATGAGATTTTGAGACAACAAGCTTTATGTATAGTATTTCACATTACAAGTATTCAGTTAGTGCTTCCTATATATATGGTTGGAATTATTTCGCTTTTACATAGGGGCCAACTTTCCAAATCGTTTATCAGTATACAACACAGAAATATATAGTTAGCAAGCACGGAATTCAAATTAGCGCAATTTTAAGGTAGGTGTGCAACTTTACTCTACATAGGTATATAACATTATTCATGAACTTCGTATTAAAAAGAGCTGCACTTGGATAGAAATACTAAATTAAAAATTATGTAACAATGAAATTTTATATTTCATTTTAAAATGAAACTGATTACTTGGAATCAATGTTCTGATTTCTGGTTAAATTAGAACTAGTTGTTATTTTTCTTTATTATCCTGCGTTTGAACCACTAAAAATGTTTTATCACAGTATTTCAAGTTCGAGTTAAAGTTATTTTGCTTCTTTATAAAGGAGAAAAGATTAAGTTTCAAAATTTCTTGTTGGAGAAAGTGGAAATATAAGATTTTTTAGAGTTGTTTAAGGTATTAAATAAATTTGCTTAGATTAACAGAAAACAAAACTATTTCATACCATTTGACTTCTTAAGTTAAGGAGAAAAGAAATTTAGTTTGAGATGATTATTCTCGAAAACCGTCATTTTATTCAGTCTTAAGACCATAACCATGACTATGAAATCATAAATCTGTTTTTTTTTTCTTTAATGGAAAATATGATACAATTAAACAAAAAAATACATATTACCAAAATTCGGAGTAAGAACCTACTTTTACTGTGAGAAATATATATGATCACTTACCCCAAAACTTTGACTGAAAAGCTTGCAATCACCAGTTCCAGTTTCCCCACCGCACACCGCTCTTCCCATGGGCTTATACACTCCTATTTCGCCTACTGGTTTGGGCAGTAAGGCCGGCTGGACATTGGGTATTCCGTAGAAAGTATCGTCCAAAACGAAGAGGTGTAGCCTGCCTGGGAAAATCTTATGAGGGCTGATATAGGTCTTTATATATTTATGGGGTACTATTTCCGGACCTTCTGGTGTGTATGTCATCTTGATTATAAATTATGCACTAAAAGATTAGATGTTTATCCAGCAAATAGAACAGGAAAAAAAGGGGGGAACAAGTGTTTTTGAAGTGAATCTCGAAAGAACGCGCCGCACGACAGAAGACAATAAACCACTTTGGCTTCGATTCCGAAGACGAATTTAGATGCTCCACTCAAGGTGGGATTGAGCCTCTCATCGGATTTAAATGGCATGCGGCATATGCAAATCATGACGAAATGTTTATTTTGGTGAAATTCAGGGATTTAAATGGAGTCATTTAAATAATTGAGGATTTGATACAGCTTTTTATCGACGACGAAGATCTATCTCTACGTGAATAAGAAAATTTCAAGATAGCTTTTTTTTGTTGCTTTTTTTCGGGACAAATAAACTGTTTTAGCCAAAAATACATAACCTTGCGCCTGTTAATGAATTTGGTGAAACAAATTACTCATCGGAAGTCTAAATTTCTCTAGCTACAAATGCTACAAGTTGCAGGGATTAAAAAGTTCGCTTATTTAACCCACTAATGCCCAATTAAAAATTTGTATATTACGTGAAATTAAAGATGAAATACAAATCCAAATTTACTACTGTCCCAAGCCAAATTATTAGACGTACAATAAGATTCTATGTCAAATCTTAATTATACGGTGATACTCTACAGCTTTTTTGTTTTTATATGACTGAAACCAGTTTGCACTTGTTTATATTCGTGTATCAATTGGTTAACATTGTAACGCAATACGTTAAAAATAAAAGCAAATGGGAAGTATATAAAAAAATCTCCTCTATAAAAACCCATTACATGTATGTTTAAATATAAAAGTATTGCATAGATACTCGTGCAAAACATGCAATTATTAAAACACTACAGTGCGTCTAATAATGTGGTCTAATTATTATAATATACTAATATAATACCTGATATAATAAATATTCTATATTTATATAATATATCGTCTAATTTATCCTATCGTCAAATGTATGTTATATATCGTCTAATTTCACCAATTTATAGACGAACGTAAACAAGTGCAAACCGGTTTCGGTCATGTAAAAACAATAAAAGCTGTATAGTAATCACCTGATAATTAAGATTTTACATCGAATCTTATAGTGCGTCTAATAATTTAGGCAGGGACTGTAGATGGTGAAGTGAATTGAAAAATTACTTTAAAAAAAAAAAAAAAACTTTGTTTTTGTAGTACACATGGAAAATAGTTGTAATCTCGACTGACAATAAATTCTGTTTGCATCATTTAAGAAGTAATAGTAAAAAGTATTAGAATAAAGAATAGAATTGTTGTTAAAATTTTAGCTACTCAGAAAATGGTCTATATTTAAATTGTCAATAAATTCATTTTGGCAAAAATGCTGAGAGTGAAAAAGAAACGTTAGAAACTTATATTTTCCACCTACTTTTGATTTGAACTGAGACTCAACACAGAAAAAAACATGGTCAAAACTTCTAGAATACGATAATATTTAATGTCCTATGCATAAAGTGTTTTTACTTTTTTTATTATTTTTTATTTACTTAAAAATAGAAGAAAAAATTTTAAACTGTAAGTTATACAAAATTTTACATAATTTTTAATCATGTAATTTTAAATAAACTGCAAAATTTGAATAAAAATGATCTAAAAATTTTTAAGAAATAGAACTTTAAGAGTATGGGTTCTTTCAAATTCTATAACTCAAAAACTAGTAATTAATTTTGCTGAAGTTTCCAGTTTTGCCTCTTAAGGTTACATAGTTTTAAATGAAAAGACGTAAAAAATATTGCATAATTTTCAAATTTTTTCACCATTATTAAATTAAGTAATGAAATATAATTAAAAGTAATAAAAATTGGGTTAACTGGCTTTATAAGTGTGTGAAACAACTTTTTGATTACCTTTAAGACTTTGGCTAAATGCGCAGAAAGTGAAATTATTAAAATCGGCCCAATATTTCACGAGCTCTTTTGCCGAAACCATTAGGACACTATTTTCCAGACTCAATAATTACCTCCAATATTTCCAGAATAATTTNAAAAGTATACTTTGCGAGAATTAAAGAGTTTTTACTTAAAAAAAGTCCTTAATCGTTTTTTGTTTTACATAACTTTGGTGCTTTTCTGCAGCAATGTTTCGCCATTTTTTAGGGATAACAGGAAGGCTGGCGTCGCCTCTTGTTGTTGTTCTATGTATTCAGTAGCATTTTCGACAGCTTTAAGTTCATCTGTGTGAGAGATTTTTATGTTGATTTTCATCGTCACTGTCTTCATCATCTTCGCTAGGTTCATTTCCATTATTGACGAATTAACGATCATTTCATGGGATAGAGTTGTTAGATTTTGTTTTCCCGAGTGTTTGGAAGATAAAATTCAGATTTATTTTTCGGCGGTATTTTTAAAAATGAAAAATAAACTAGAACCAAAAAATCCTTAAAATATTTGAAAGCTCGGTTAAAGCGGAAACTCGGATAACCGGGGCTCGGATTATCGGGACTCTACTGTATTTAACTTCTTTCATTTGACCGAGATAACGCGAGAATAGTAAACTGATGATAAATCAAACGTTTGTTACACGTAAAAAAATTAAAATTTCAACTGCAAACTTGTGTATTCAGTTTCTTGTATTTATTAATAAAATAAAAAAAAAAATATGTTGATTTTTTGCATTTTTTTCTTCTTCAAAACATTTGTAAGGGAAGCGATTTATAGATATCTTCAGTCATATTGGAAGAATGGATTTCAAAAACTATTTTAATAACAGGTTTTACCATTTTTCATTTAGGCGGGGAATTTGACAGAGTTTGTCTTCCCTTATTCAGTGTCTTGGGAGCAATATTTCTTTCCAATTTTGGCATAAAATAAAAGAAAGGTGGGGGGACAGAAAGTGACTGACAACAGAATATAATTATGGATCAGATATGGAATCTGAATTTTCTCTAAATGTTTCTGGTAGTCCTGAAAGTTCTATATCGGAATTCTCTAGTGATGGTGGGAAACGGAGGTTCAGAACTTTAGATTCAGAAGGTTCGAAACTTTAGTGAAATGCTTCGTAAATAATTTATTTTTATTCACAAAACAGTACATGTTTTTTTTATTATCTATTAGTCTCCTGTAATAGGCTGCTTTCAATTCCTTAGAAAAAAAAAGTAGTCAACTTCAAGTAAAAATGCTCAAAGTTAAGTAAAATTAATGAAAAACTATCAGAAATTAATAATTTAAACAATTTGAAATACTAATACAAATTCATTTAATCGATTATAAGACAATTTTTTTTTTTTAAAAAAAAAGCTTATTTTTGGTTCAAATAGGTAAGGGAAATGAAACGGTTATGCGTTTAATAGTATTTCATTGAATATAAATTCATTGACTAGTAAAAAATAAATAAAAAAATAAACTTATCTTCTATTCTGCTAAAAACTACTTTTTATAAGTACATTATAAGCTGAACAAAATCTGATAAGCATTATAAGTTAAATTGAACTAAAATATAACTACTCTGAATAACTCTGCAACAGTTCAGAATATAATTTAATACAAACTTTTGAAATTTTTGTCTGTCTAATCATTTTACCAGAAATTAAATAAACTAGTTTTACGTATTCATTTAAATAATTTATTTTATTTGCAATTGCAAGGTCATTTGACTGAAAGCGATATCACACTAAAATTGTATGAATTTCAAACATCATTAAAATTAACAACTGAGCTTCTGACAGTTAATAAATGTTCGGAGCGAATTAGCCATGGCTCTGTTAAAAAGCGCTAGCGTAATTAAAAAAAAAATTTGGCACAACTTTTGAAGTCTGAGTGGCAACCCTAATAGATTAAAACAAACCGTCGCCACACTTCTTAATGCAAAAACCAAACGCAAAGCAAACCTGATGAAGTCGTATTCAACTACAATTCTTAGATCACAAACTCTATCCATTCAAATGAGTTGCATTTTTTATGGTATTTTTAACCCAGATCAAAATTAAATGAAAAAAGAAAACGTATAAAAGTTGTGATTGCCTTATTACGATTACTAATTACTAAGGCCCGGATTTTGATGACATTTGCATTTTTTTTGCATATTATGTCTCTTAGAGCATTTTTTTAGATTTATAGGGCATTTTTCTTTAAATTTTGGGGCGTATTTTGCATTTTAATGCATTTTTTAAAGTTTTCTGTTAATTTTTCCAATTTTTATTATTTTTTATCAATTTTCATTATTACACTGGCTTTCAAACAATGAAGAAAATCTATAGGATATTAACAGGTGAAGCAAAATCTTTTCAAATTGAAGAAGAATTGTCAGTAAGTGAGACCGTCTTTTTCAAGTACACACCTATAACATCAGTAGACGTTGAAAGAAGCTTCTGCAGGAATGAAAATTTACTTTCAGACAAGAGACGCTCGTTTACATTTCAAATTATCAAAAAACATTTAATAATCCAATGTAATTCTGATATTTAGTAATATTATGAGATGGAAGTTGTTATATCCATTAAAGTTTCTATACAAAATAAAAATATTTTGGTGTCAATATATTTTCCTTTTTTTGTTATTTTAGGATATAAAACATATTTTTCAAACTTTAATGAACGTAGAACAAGTATTGCATTGCTTTATATTTTTTAAATGACTCATAATAATTTTAAAGAGCAAAACATTTTTTTAATTCAATATTTTTACTTTATTTAAGGCATTTTTTGCGCAATTTTTGCATTTTTAAGGGCATTTTTTGCACTTTTTAAGGGCATTAGTTGAGATTTTTTAGGTCATCAAAATCCGGGCTCTACTAATTACCCATTGGTCAAATGCTTTTTCTTTCTGGTTTGACTCCGTTAAACGTTTCAAATCATGGGTTGCAAAAACTGTCTCAATGGATGTTTGTCGTCGGATTAGTTTTCAAATCCTGCCTATGTACGTGTTTCGTAAAATATTTTTCCTTCTTCAACATTTATATTTATATTGAAATCACCGTTAAGACAGTCATTATTCGTTAATAATAAAAAGAATATAAAAAAAATTAAATCATTATTATTATGTAAATACATTAAAAATGCCTGCTAGTGAAAATAAAAATAAAAACAGCAAACATCGCCACAACGACGCATGCGCACTGTTTACTATTATTCTTGAACACAGTTGAAAAGTGTGTGGACGCC